ATCTCATAAGATATTAACCCCCTCTCTCTCCCTGTGATATTAACCCCTCTCACTCTCCCTGAGATGGCAACCTCCTCTCTCTCTCCCTGTGATATTAGCCCCTTGCTCTGAGATTAAGAATTATTTCCTTCTGTCTTTGCTTCCAGCTGCTGTGGTGCAGGCTGTGCAGCCGATGCTGAAGTTACGACACAGATGATGGCCTCTAACATCCAGCTGCATACTCTGTCAACAGGCCGCAAACCCCGCGTGGCCATTGTTAACCGGATGCTGAAACAGATGCTGTTCAGGTGTGAGAGCATTCCCTTTACATTGTCATTGTGGATCTTTCCTTATTAGAGTTAAACAGCGAGGTAAATGGCATGTGCCCTTATAGCCCAGGGAATATGTGCGCTGCCTTCTCCCATGGATACAGATGAGACCAGTTTTGAGCCAAGTTTGTGCTGAGGAAATTGAGCATGCGTTTGTTGCAATGTGCCTCAATACAAGTGGACATGTGTTGGAAAGAATCACAAGGGCTCCTGCTGTTGATCACTGATCTAGGCTGTAACTTTGTTGTGGATCCACGTCAGGGAAATGGCCTTGACTGGGATGCCCCCTCAGTAACATTCCTACAATCCCTTTTGCTTCTTTTCATCTCCCCATTCCGAGGATGTAAAGCTACCCTTCCCACCCTCCCATCTCCCATCCCTGCACCCACCTTCAGCCCCAATTCCCTTTTCCTCATCACCCCGACTCATACTCTCCACTCCCCCATCTAAAGCATCCTCCCAGTCCACAATCCCACCAGTCAGCTCTCAACAACCTCACCTCGCCCCATCTGCATCCAAAACCACCTCCCTCTTCCCCAACCCCTTCCCCCATCACCCGGACCTGAGAGATTTTGAGGCTGCAGTCTCATTTCCCACTCACTGGGTGAGAATTATTTAATTCATTCATTCATGGCATGTGGGCATCGCTGACTGGACCTGCATTTACCGCCCATCCCTAACTGCCCTTGAGAAGGTGGTGATTTCTGCATGAAAATGATGTATGGCTTGGAAGGCAGGGATTGATGTTCTCATTGTATCTGTTGCCCTTGTCCCTCTGGGTGGGAGGGGATGGAGGTTTGGAAGGTGCTGTTGAAGGACCCTTGCTGCAGCATATCCTGTGTGTGGTAACACTGCTGCCACTGTGTGTTGGTAGTGAAGGGAGCGAATATTGAAGGTGGTGGATTGGTGCCATTCAAATGGTCCGTTTTATCCTGGATGGTGCCAAACACCCTGGTCTCTTGAGTGCTGTTGCAGCTACACTCATTCGACTGGGTGAGCCCACTTGGGCACTTCCTGGTCCAGCTACACCAGCTCGAACAATGGGAAACAAGAGGTGTACTGGTGTAGTGGAGTGGGGGTGTATCAGAGTGAAAGTATGGTTCCTGAAATACATTGGTTTGGGAGAGGTTTTGTGATGCTAGGAATGTTGGAGGGAACTGTCAGGGAAATTTGTGATCCTTGGTGGGAGGGGGTAATCACAGGGTTGATCATGGGACAGAGGTGGCTGTGGAGTTCTGGGACATGGCCAGTAGATGGAGGGGATAGAGGTCGCAGAATATCAGTCCAGACCGTGATTGTAGGTCAGTCCCTCCCATGAGGGCAGTGAAAATTAACCCATTCCTGATTTAAATGCACCATAATCTTTGTCTTGCTTTAGGTACCAGGGGCACATTAAGGCATCAGTGATTGTTGGTGGTGTAGACTGCACTGGGCCCCACCTGTATGCAGTATACCCTCATGGTTCCACAGACAAACTGCCCTTCGTCGCCATGGGTAAGGAGAAGTTAATACTAATGTCTGTCAAGCAAGCCTAGGGCTGGTTATGGGAATTCCAAAAAAAATCCAAATGGAAGGGAAATTGACAAATACTTGGAAAGGAAAAACTTGCACTCGCTCTGGAGGACGCCAGGAGATAATCGGACTCACTGAATGATACATTCAAAGAGGGACAGAATGGCCTCCTTCTGTACCATATGACTGAATGATTTAAGGATTGTTTTGTTTTTCCTTTCTATGGCTCAGTTCACTAGGAAGTGACTGGTTTAGTCTCAGAGCCTGTTGTTAGGACAGGTACCTTAACCAGCATTCCTGCTGAATGTTCCAGGAAAACCTAGGTTCCAATTGGACAGATGGTGGGAATGTTGACATGACAACCAACAGCTCCACCCCTCCAGGCTCACATGAATGGTCACTAGATCCATCAACCTTTCAAGCTTTCCTCTTCCAATCAGAATGCAGGTTTTTCATTACCCAATTGAGTGACTTTATCTGTCTTCCATATTTTTATAATTAAGAAATGTCCCAATAATTATTTGCTGGATTTATGTTTAGGATTTAGTCTTATGATTCTTAGGGAATTAGGAGATTCCAGGAGCACTGGTCACTCTGGGAGATGCTCCCTTTTCAACTAGGCTGGCTGGGTTGATTTGCAAGGCTCATATGTGAGGAGTGGGATAGAGAGTGCTTAGCACACTAAGACTATAGGTCAAGGAAAGTCAACTTTTAGGGAGAGGAAAGAGAAAGAATAGCTTGACCGAGGCAATTTTGCCCTGCCTTCCTTTTCAAACCCTGGGCTGTTGTTTAATTCTGTCTGTGTTGGGGGGGGTGGGGCAGCGTTTTCTTTGTGGGAAACCTGTTTACTGCGATAGAAATGAATGTCAGTATGTGTCTTCTGTGCCACAGGTTCTGGTTCAGCAGCTGCTATGGCTGTACTGGAAGATCGATTCCAACCAAACATGGAGGTAGGTGACCAATCTGATTCAGTGTGATCCCCTCCCTTATTAATGCAATGGGAAATCTCCGGACTCGTCCCCTATCACAGCTCAACAATACTATTTAACGGTTCCTGATATTTTCATTTCTCTATCTGTCTTCCTTCCTCCCTTTCTGTCTATCTCTAGCATTACACACATTTCACATGGAATTTACACCAATGACTTCCCAGGCAGGAAGCATTCAAAAATAATTTTCCTGACCACTGGATGATGCAAAGTGTTTTCCATTTGTGAAAAGGCCAAAACTGAATTCTGATGAAGGGTCTAGGCCCGAAACGTCAGCCTTTCTGCTCCTATGATGCTGCTTGGAGGGCTATGTTCATCCAGCCCTGCACCTTGTTGTCTTGAATTCTGAATTCTTGTTTTTCTGAAGATGGGATCCCTCCCTCCAGCACAAACACCACTCGATCAGCACATAATCGTTTAGTGCTTAGCACCTGCACTAACCCCATGATGATGCAAATGTGAAGGAAAATGCAGGAAGAAATGTGTTCTCACATATTTACAAGTTGCATAAAATTAATTACCTAGTACTCTGCGCTAGTTATGATAGTAACGGTGGCTCAGTGATTAGCACTGTTGCCTCATAGTGCCAGGGACCCAGGTTCAATCCCACCTTCGGCAGGTTATCTGTGTGGGGTTTGCTTATTCTTTCCGTGTCTGTGTGGGTTTCCTCCAGGTGTTCCAGTTTCCTCCCACAGTCCAAAGGTGTGCAGGTTAGCTGAATTGGCCATACTAAATTGCCCATAGTGTCCAGGGATGTGCAGGCTAGATGGATTAGCCACAGGAGATGCAGGATTACAGGGATAGGGTAGGGGGTTGAGTCTCAGTGGAATGCTGTACAGAGGGGTGGTATGGACTTGATGGGCTGATTGGCCTGCTTCCGCACTGTAGAGATTCTATGATTCCAATAATGTGCAATTTTCCTTTTGAAGTACTAGCCTTGGGTTACTCCAGCCCTGAACTTTGGGTTTTTCCAGCCTCTTGGGCTATGGGTTACTGCTCAGAATCTCAGCTCCAATATTCTGTCAAGGCTGGTTCTTTATCTTTAGGAAGAAGCAGGCAAGCAGTTGATCCGTGAGGCCATCACAGCTGGAATATTCAGTGACCTTGGTTCTGGGAGCAACGTTGACCTCTGCATCATCACTGAGAACAAGACCGAGTTTCTCCGTGCCTTTGACAGCCCAAATAAGAAGGGCCAAAGGTAAGTACCCAGCTCCCCAAGGGAGGACCTTGTTCACAAATCATAATAAAAGGGCACAGAGCAGAGATAGAGAGTGCAAATACCAATTCTCAATTAATAACACTGGATAGACTTCGAGTCTTGAGTCTAATTCTGGGATTGTACTTGGAAAGGGTCTGAAATCCTTAGACTGGATTCAAAGGAGATTTACTTCAACAGTCCCTGAGATAGAAGACTTGAGTCTTTTCCAAGACAAGAGACCATAGAGGTCTCATAGAGGCTCATAGAGTCGAGTAAATTAAGAGACTTAAAAGCAGTTTTATACTGAGGTTTAAAATTATGGAAATCAATTTGGGGAGGCAATGGCCTAGAGGTATTATCGCTGGACTGTTAATCCAGAGACCCAGGTAACATTCTGAGGACCTGGGTTCGAATCCTGCCACGGCAGATGGTGGAATTTGAATTCAATAAATATCTGGAATTAAGAATCTAGTGATGACTATAAACTTGTTGTCGATTGTCAGAAAAACCGAACTGGTTCACTCATGTTCTTTAGGGAGGAAAACTGCCATCCCTACCTGGTCTGGCCTACAGGTGACTTCAGACCCACAGCAATGTGGTTGATTTGTAACTGCTTTCTGGGAAATTATGGGCATTAATGCTGATCTAACCAGCAACACCCACATCTGGTGAATGAAAAGAAGTAGGTAGAAACAATTTCCACTGTCATATAGGAACCAGAGGACAACAGATTTAAAATCACTGATAAAAGAAAATAGCATTTATTTAGGAATGCACTGTCTGAAGGGACAGTGGAAGCAGATTAAATTATAACCTATTTTTGGCGGGGTATGGGATCAGGGGAAGAGGATCAAACCAGCAGGATTTCATGGTTGGGGAAGGTCAATGCATCATCTTCTGCCACCTGCAATCCGACCCCCACCACCAAAGACATTTTTCCCTCCGCACCCTTATCTGCTTTTCAGAGAGACCACTCTCTCCGTGATTCCCTTGTCCGCTCCATACTCCCCACCAGCCCCACCACACCCGGCAGTTTTCCCTGCAACTGCAGGAAGTGCTACACCTGCCCCTACACCTCCCCCCTCATCCCCATCCCAGGCCCCAAGAAGACCTTCCACATCAAACAGATGTTCACCTGCACATCTGCTAATGTGGTATACTGTATCCGCTGTTCCCGATGTGGCCTCCTCTACATCGGGGAAACCAAGCGGAGGCTTGGGGACCGCTTTGTGGAACACCTACACTCGGTTGGGAACAAACAACTGCACCTCCCAGTCGTGAACTATTTCAACTCCCCCTCCCACTCCTTGGACGACATATCCATCCTGGGCCTTCTGCAGTGCCATAATGATGCCACCCCAAAGCTGCAGGAACACCATCTCATATTTCACTTGGGAACCCTGCAGCCCAAGGGTATCAATGTGGACTTCACAAGCTTCAAAATCTCCCCTCCCCTGACCGCATCCCAAAACCAGCCCAGCTCCTCCCTGCCTCCCTAACCTATCCTTCCTCCCACCTATCCCCTCCTCCCACCTCAAGCCCCACCCCCATCTCCTACCTACTGGCCTCATCCCGCCTCCTTGATCTGTCCACCCTCCCTGGACCGACCTATCCCCTCCCTACTTCCCCACCTACATTCACCTTTACTGGCTCCATCCCCGCCTCTTTGACCTGTCTGTCTCCTCTCCACCTATCTTCTCCTCTATCCATCTTCTATCCACCTCCCCCTCTCTCCCTATTTATTTCAGAACCCCCTTCCCCTCCCCCACTTCTGAAGAAGGGTCTAGGCCGGAAATGTCAGCCTTCCTGCTCCTCTGATGCTGCTTGGCCTGCTGTGTTCATCCAGCTCTACACCTTGTTATCTCAGATTCTCCAGCATCGGCAGTTCCTACTATCCCCATGGAGCCCGTTGTGTCGGATTCTGAAACAACTTCGGTCTGCGCTGCGCCAAGGACTATCTGGCCTTTAGAATGTCCTGGTGTCAGACTCCGCACCCCCCACCCCCGCCACCTACTCTGGTCCCTGACCACTTGTGTTGTTGGTTCTTGCAGGGAGGGAGTGTACCGCTACAAGAAGGGCACCACCTCTGTCCTGACAGAAAAAGTCACTCCACTCGCTGTTGACCTGGTGGAGGAGGTTGTGCAGAGAATGGACACTGAGTAACACTAAGAAGGAGCCCCAGCATCTCTGCAGGCTCCAGCAGGAAGACCGAGATGGGCAGAAGGATCTCTGCGTCAGACAGTCCATTTCTGCCACATGATAATTACATAGAATCAATTAGGTTATTATCTTACACATTGTATCCGGTATGTATACTGTATCCGGTATGTGGATTGTACCAGTTAGTTTCCAAAATAAAAGAGACCTCAGGACAAGGAAGGGATTGTGCTGTGAGTGTTAATATCTGTCTTGGTTGCATCTGAGAAGAACAACGTTTGCAAAACATACAATTTTATTGATAACTGAAGCAGAAATGTAACCATCCGCAATGCTTCATTAATCTTTAATAAGTGGCGATTTGCTTATGAAGTACCAGAATATATTTACATGCTTTCCAACAGCGCCAGACATCTATTAAAAATAACCACGAGAGGAAGAGTTAACATTTCGAAGTCTGGGCAGCGGGCGGCTGATATCAAACGCAGTATTTCCAGAAGCAATCTGAGAAGTTGTTACGTTTCTTGTACTGTCTCCTGCCTTTTCCAATGAAAAAGCGGCCTGCTTTCGGCTGTGCTTTCCTTTCGTACAGAATCTGCAGAGAAAAGCAGAGACTGGTTGCCAACACCGCAAAGGATTGGATTTCCAATCTTCAGCCCCAACGCCAAAATCCACCCCCACCAAGTGATCCTGAATACTACCCACCCCAATCCCAATTCCCCACCCTACCAAAATCCATACCTAAACCCCATCCCATCCCCTTCCGACAAGATGCTTCCAGGGCTCTGACTTGCTTACACCTCATGCATCCTTCAGAATTAACAAGACATTAGTATAAAGCTGTGTCAAGCAGACTACTCAAATGTGAAGGCACTCCCCGTTGGATTAGATGCAATGTAAAGCTCCCTTTACACCTTCCCATCAAACGCAAGTAGGAGAGGAAGTGACAGGCAATAAAAGCTGATTCAACATGATGAGCTAACGTGAGTAAGATGCTGACTGACAGCGAGAGGATGACTAATACTTTTAGGTGAAATGTGAGGAACAACATTAGTATGCTCAGAGAGTTGCTAATGACGTGGAATTTGCTGCTCACAATTATAGGAAGTGGAAGAAATTATTTCAAAAGGAAATTGTATGGATACTTGGAGATCAAGTGGTGTGTGGAGCTAACTAGAATGCTTTGCCAAGAGCTGTGATGGACCCAGTGGGCTGAATATCCTACTCTTGTGACATAAATGACTGAAATCAGCTGACTCTAAAAGTGATGGTGCTTCAGATTTCCCCTGTTCTGGACTCACCTCTTTCAGATTTCCTGAGTCATTGTCACTGATTTCCCTCAGATCTGTTGACAAGGAAGAATATATCAGTTCAAATCTTGGCTACAACAGAATGGAGTAGAACCCAGAGTCTCATCCTAGAGCCTTGAACATATGAACAGATGAGCCTAAGGTATGCAGACAGGCTACACAGAGGTTAAACCTGTAACTCTAGCTTGCTGGTGGGAAGCTCCTGTTCATGGGAGCATGTGGCAATGCATCACACCTTGAGGTCGCATTGAATTTCATCCAGTCCAGCAAGGATCAGATGCAAAGTAGAGCTCCCTCGACACTGACTCTATCAAACACTTCCAGGTGGGTACAATATGCAGTTAGGTACACAGTAAAACTCCCAATACATTATCCCAAACAGCACTGTCTGTGCAGTTTCTGATGAAGTGTCTAGGCCTGAAACGTCAGCCTTCCTGCTCCTATGATGCTGCTTGGCCTGCTGTGTTCATCCGGCTCTACACCTTGTTGTCTCTACTCTCTGTGCATTGACAGCATAGGTTAAATATAAAACAAAACTCCCTTTGTACTGCCCCATTAAACACTCCCAGTGCAAGCACAGCACAAGGTGAGCTACAGTGAAAAACATTAAAGTTTTTGAGTTTTTGAAAAACAGAATCGGGAGTAATGCCAACCACCCCAGACAACCAAGGCTTATAAATAACAAGTGGGACATAACACCGATGCTTCACTGGAGGTGCAAAGACGATGTTACCTAGCAGGGTGATGAAATGTCTGCAACCAAACACACTGGCTCGGTGAGCAAATCTACAACCTCACAGTGTAGAACTCCATTTACACTATTCCATTAAACAGTTCCAGGAAAGGTGTGGGATGAGATACAAAGTAAAGTTGCCTTTACACTATCCCCATCAAACACAGCAGATACAGCATGGGATGAGGTACAGTGTAAAACACCATTTATACTATTCTAACAAATAGTCCCAGTGCAGATACAGCACGGGATGAGCTACAGAACAAAATTCCATTTACACTATTCCAACGAACACTCCCATTGCAGGTACAACATGAGGTGAGGTACACATGTACAGCATGGTAAATCCCACCCTCAGAACAGAAGGACTATTGACTGCACCATTGCAGCACAGTCTCATTACCTGTACCAGCCACTCTAGTCACAATGGTAAGGGTTACCAACTAGCAGCAAAGTAGATGTCTTGATATTAAGAGCTAGATTGAGATTGTCCAAACTCACATCATCACCAGGCATCGTAACTGCACTATGTATGAGTCTCCCTTCACTTTAGCTATTTAAATTTAGAGTAGGAGTGGAAGTAGACAGAGTTTATTAGGGTCCTCAGTATGTGTACAATACCATTTTTAAGTTGTTCAGCAGCTTCTAGATCTCTGACAGCATCATAGAGGCTGGTCCTGGGCATCACAGCTGGTGGGTTCCATAGGAGGAAGTTATTGTCCAAGCTTTGCAATTCATCCAGATTTAAAACCTGATTTTCCTCATTAGACTCTGGAAAAGAATCATTTGAGCATTAGAAAATCAGAACACTGGGAAACCTAAGACTGCTTGGCTCCTCATCTCACATGAACAGAGCCTACCAGTGAATATTTTCTTTCAGGCTACCAGTCAGAACGCCAAGTCCCTTTGCCTATCTCACCACAAAACCCCATAAAAGGATTTCCACTTATATCATCTTACTGTTGATTTTTCTAACCCTCAATTCCCTACTGAATGGATACCAGCTCCTTATTTGAAGAACAATGTCTTGAGGATGCTGGAAATTTGAAAAAAAGAGCAGAAGAATGTGAAAATACTTATCAAGTCTGGGAGTGTCTGTTGAGAGAGAATAGCAGAGTTAATCTTTCAGATCATAAGGTTCTGATGAAAGATCATCGATCTAAAGCTTTAAGAGCATATATTTTGATTCTTAAATCCCATTTTAAGTCAAAAACAAAAGGAACACAAAGATAAAACAATAAAAATAAATTCTATCAAAGCTGTACTTCTAGTTCTGGTATTTGAAAAGAAGGAAATTCCATTCTCACCATAATCTACATTCTGCAACGACCTTGTAAGATCAGCATTTGAAATCACCAACCTGTATTTTACCTTAATTTGGCAGGTGTAAATGGATTAGTAATTTAATCTTAGCAACCAAACTCTGCTCAGCCTGAAAACTATTATTACAGTTAATTAAACAGAGAAACAAAACAAAACAGAATGAGAGAGAAGGTTTAACTGAAACCACATCACTTTCAGAACCAGATCCCAAGCAAAACCTAAATTAAACATGTTAATTTCATCCTGTTTGTGAATTTTGGACACATTAAAAGCACCAGAAACATTATTGCTTAATTCAGTAATAAACTCCAGACTTAATTAACTTTAATGCTTTAACATATACAATAAACAATTGTCAGCTATAACACAATAACACAGAAATAGCAAAAGTTCCATATAAGAAGCATCTTTCCTAATCTCAAAATTTTAAAGTGCTTTACAGTCAAAAAGCTGGTTTCTGGGGTGTAGTCACTTTTGAAATGTGGGAAATGCTGCGTTCAATTTATGCACAGCACAAACAAAAATGAGATGACAATAACCAGGCTATCTGTTTTAGTTGAGGGATAACTATTGTTCAAGGCACTACAGAGAACCTTCCTGTCCTTTTCCTGATGGGGTTGAGATCATTAAACATTTACCTGACAGGACAGAAAGAGCTTTGGTTTGACATCTTATCTAAAAATGCACCTAAATTTTGCAATGGAGTACTTTTTACATTGTACCTTTTCTATACGTTGACACATGGAGATAAGTGAATGATGATAGTGACACTGGATAAGGTTCAGTTGAGGCTGACTTGTACCTCATGAATCCACCTCCCCTCCTCTATCTCCCTACTTACCTGCTTTGTACATGGAGTCTGCAATAGGCAGTGCAAAGACACAGGATCCACTGAGAAGCAAGACACCGGCTACAAGTACTAAGGACATCATGATTCAAAAGCAGCTGACAGTTGCGAGCGTAAAGAAGACCGAAAGAGAGCAGAGGTGTACATCTAACACTGAATACACACACCTTTATATATCCTACAGCCCTCTTTCTCCTCACAAACAACATCGCTGGATCAATAAAATATCATTTTATTACCTTGAGATGTTAAATCCAATCAGCGCTTCATTCTGACTCTGCTTCAAGGATAAAGTAAGAAAGCAGATGGGACACAGATTTATTGCCCATCACCAACAGTCAAAAATAACAAACCCATCAAATTCACTCCTCTCCATCAACTCCCCCTTTCAAGATTTATTTATCATTCACAGCTGAGTGACGCAAATGTATCCAACAAGTTTTGACATGAAATATAGTTAGTCTTGAATTAATTAATGGTTTATTTTCTAAAAAAAATTGCAGATGTTGCATTGAAAATCTTTTAAAGAGCCCTTTCCTGTTGTACGTCTCTTTCATTAGTCTTTTATATTGATACAAGTATTATAAAGCTCCATTCTCCCATCTAATTCTTTCTTTTTTGCATCTAAGAATGCCAGAACTCTACATGAGCTTCTTCATGTCATCCTAGCAACAAATCCTCCTATTCCCTTCTCCCTCATGTAATTATCTATCTTCCCCTTAAATGCATGTATGCTATTTGCTTCAGCCACCCTGTATCATGGTCACTTCCATACTGCAACCACTCTTCAGGTAAGTGCATTTCTCCCGAATTCCCCATTGATATTTATTAGTGACTATCTAATATTTACCCTCCACAATTTTGCACTCCTGTTCAAGTGGAAATATGTCTACCCTGTCAAAACACTTTTCATAATTTTAAAGACCTCCATTCAGTCACCACTAAGCATTCTCCATCCTATAGAAAGAGCCCAGACTGTTCAATTTTTGCTGGTAGTCAAACTTGCTGAGTTCCTGCATCATCCTGGGAAATCTTTTTTTTGCCCCTCCTCCAGCACCTCTAAATCTTTTTCGTAATATGGAGAATAGAAATGTGCACATCTCCAAATGGGATCTGTCCAAGTTTAAATAATTTTGACATATCCTAACTGTGTTCCCCTTCTCCTAGAAATGGAGCCAAGGGCTTTCATTGTATTTTGTACCACTTTGTTATCTGGTGTTGCTAGTATGACTGATTTGTGATTCTGTACCTCAACATCCCTTTGCTCTTCAACACAATTTAGCACAGACTGTGGATGAAGTCTGGCATAATTCTAGTCTGTGACACTCAGTTTCACATTAAAGTGCACCAGCCTGGGAAATCAATTCAGGTTATCGCCTATGTGTTTATGTGCCATAACTCAGCTTCATTATGTAATGCAATCACTTAAAAAATAAATTAAGCTAAAACTGAAACATATACAGAAAAAAGATGTAAAATAGTCAGCCAACAGTCAGTAAAGTTTAATTTGTATGACTTTTACAGCTGGTTGCTTGGTTCTTAGCCTAATTATCTTTTGTATCTTTTAATAAAATACAAAGTAGATGCATCCAGCCACACCTGTGCCTGTGTGTCTAAGCTAATAATTCTGCAGCTATACAGAGTAATAAATATGTAGCATTGGTGTAAATAGATGATCTTTAGATTGCATGTCCTGTAATAACTACGCTAAAATGGGACCTATAAACGATGTCAGAAGAAAATTGAGATCAAAAGTAAAAGGAACACTCAATGTGACTTTTTGTGAAGCCTCTAACTCATGGGGCTAACAACATGCATGAATTAATCTATGTGTTGTCATCAGGAGACAAAGAAACTGATCCTTTCGCTATTTCCATGGTTCCTGCCAGGTGGAGAAAAATGTTATCTTCACGTCTTGTCTTTTAGTTTTTCCTTGTCACTTAAGGTACAGGATTCAGATGAATTCCATAGGTGTGGGTAACCACTGGTAATCTCAGTCACAGCTGGCACTTGCTCACATTTTTCTTCTTTTAGACAGGACCTAATATGTGGGCATCACTGGCAAGTACACCAAGCTGCTAAGGGATTTGCTAAGCCTACTAGATATGCCGATGAAAACTGTCAGTTTAGCTTTCAACCTCCAGCAGTCTGCCTTCACATACCCTGTTTGTGGTAAAAGTAATATGTTGACTTCTTTGAATCACATCTATCCTTTGTACTATCTTCTTTACTACTCTGAGAAGCAACTGCCTTTTCAATCCTAATGCCCCCATCATAGTAATTAGTGTTCTGTCATCGCCTTATCAATTTTTATTATCTCTCCAAATTCTCTGTGGGCTTACAAAAAAAGATTTGCTGCCCTCTATGTTTGTGAGATAGTTCATAACTCTCAACCCAAATTACAGCTTCCCTTATTTCATAAGTTTTATAGTCTTCTAGGCTGCACCAAGTTCCTAAAGGAACATTGTTTTCAATTACTTCGTGAAGAACACTTTCCTAAATTTTCATAATTTTGAGGAAGCTCCATCACCATCAATCAAGCACCATTTCCCTTCCTCAGCAAATTCTACAGAAGTCTAATTCAGTCACTTGCTAGGATTTCTAAACTATTGCCTGCAATTTTCTGAGTCAAACTTTTGTATTAAGCAAAGCTAACTTAACTGTATTATAATCTGCAGACTAGTTATCTGAAAGAATTGAGTAAGTCTCCAATAATTTTCCTACGAAAACGCTTTGAATTGATTTGCCCAAATTTTTTGAGGCCACTGTCATTCATAGAAAAGTTTTCAATTGAAATAAAATAGATTTAAACTTTTTCCTGACTGAAAATAGCCACTGGGTGAATAATTCAGGAGTTAAATCTGACAGATTGTCAAATCTGTCACCTCCTCCCTGTTTATGAGATTAAACGTCCTTATCCAGTTCAAAATTCCTGGTTTCCCTTCCACTTTTGCAATTATAGGCCTTCCCTTCCCCTTACTCTTTGAAATTCTCATTCAAGTTTTCACATTTCTTTTATTCTTCTTTATTTCTCTCCTGTTTCAAGTTCAACTTTGTAATTTATTTTCTTTTTTCGTTTTTGAGTTCAGATATTTCAATCATGACTAAATTGTAACCAACTCAAACTGCAATTTATTTGGATTACCCTTTACTCATGCTGACCTTGCTCAAGATTAAAATATTGAGCTAATACCTTAATTATTTTTAGCTTTTTAGTGCAAGCATTTAAATCTATTTCTATTTTTCTGTCACCGCCTTTAAATTACTATTGTTAATTGTTGAAAAACAACCACAGACAAGTCCTGTCTTTCCAGGAAAGCATCAGCAATTGATATAGATATTTTTAACATTTCTAAAGCAAAGGTCACTGTGAAATCTTATTTGTTTAAACTGCAAAGAGTCCCCAGTTTTGTTATGATCCGTGGAGAGACTGATAACTTTTAAAGTTGTATAACTGAACAGATAGCATGATCAAGGCTACACATTTTAAGATTATTACTGTAACAAATAGATTGAATGTACTGTTGACTAAACGCTTTTTGGGGAACTAATTATTTAAAATATATGATAATTAAATTAAGACAAGGACTTCCAACCACCATAATAACTCACTATCAAGTATGTGTTACACTGTCATTTAAATAAGCATTCAGTTTTTCCAGAATCAGTCCAAAATGGTTTTTAGCTTGCAAGAGTTTATTTTTGATCTTTTCCTTTCCCAATGTAATAACTCCAGAACCGTATTCCATGTTGAAAGTTTTACTGGTGACTCTCCTTCTAGCTCAAGCTAGGCAAATCAATCACCCTGATTTTAACCACTCACAAATTATGCCTTATCCAACATCTACCTGTGGGCATTTCCATGAGGAAACATTCAAGGACTGGAAATTGAACCCAGCAATTTGAGGTCAGCAACAACAATAGCTTACATTTGTATAGCATCTTTTTGTATTCTTTCATGGGACATAATCTATAGGCAGACTTTTTTTTGTTGGCCAACAGTGACAGAACAGAAATGGTGACACACTTCCAAGTCAAGATGCTGTGTGACTTGCAGGGGAGTTTAGCAAGTGTCTCAAGGCACTTCTCAGGAGAGGTATTGTACAAGATTTGACAGTGGGATATTAGGACTGATATTATAAACTTTGTCAAGGAGGTAGGCTTTAAAGGATGGTTATGAAGGATGAGGCTGAGAAGTTTAAGGAGGGAATTCTAGACCATTGAGTCTTGGCAGCTGAAGACATAGCTGTCAAAAGTAAAGTGATTAAAATTAGAGATATCGACGAGATCCAAATTGGAGAATCCCAGAAATCTCAGACGGCTTACAGAGATGGGGAAAAGCAAGGCCATTGAAATCAAGCAATGAGAAATTTAAAATAAAGTTGTTGCTGGATTGAGTGCCAAAGTAGGTCAGTGAGCATAGGGGTAATACCCTGGGTTGACGGGACTTGGTGTGTGTTAGGATATGGATAGTACAGTTTTGGATGAGCTCAGCTTTATGGAAGGTGGAAGTGGTATTGGAGGACAATAGTATCGGGGAGGCTGAGAAGAAATGTCATTAACCAGGGGCACAGTCACAGAGGATGTCATCTGCAACTTTCATAAAGTCCATTTCATTCTTTAAAGCTTACTTCTTTGAACAAGTTTATGGCAGGAGAGGAAACTTGATTGCAGGGATTCACACATGGAGGTGTGGGAAAGATGTGCACAGATTTGGAAGAATTTGGTCAGATGAATCATCCCATCTAATGCTCCAGGTGAGATGAGAGAATGCTATGAAAGAACAAAATTTTGGAAGTTGTCCTGCTCTTTCTTAAACTCAGGTGTTCACCATTCTGCCCATTGGGATGTAACAAATGTAACATTATTGAATCTGAGTGCAACATCAGAAGGTAATGGGCACCAGGTGGTGCTGTTCACTCTTTCTGAACACAGCTGAATATTAAAAAGATTCAGCACCTCTCAGTACAGGTTCATTCATATTTCAATGTACTGCGATTTAGGGGAAAGGGTCTCACTTTTCTCAGGGCCATGTGTCTTTCTTTTTGTGGGCCTTAAGGTTTTGAAAAGGACGATTCCTAA